CAAATGCATCGTGGTATTTGGAAATAGAGGCCTTGGTGTGTGTGTGTGTGTGTGTGTACACCAGTGTAAATTAAAAGTTACCGGAAGACGCCCAAAGTACTCTGCGAAGTCTTTTGGCTGATGACCAGAACTACTCTAACGCAAGCCCGGTAACTAGAGGATCTTTTAGGAGATCCGCTCCACGGTGGGCTAACTCGGCCTGGCATTGTCCGGCGAGGAGGCTACCTGGGTCTAGGAGTGTGTGAACCCATCTTCCCTCCCCTTTTCCTCTCTGTGTGAGCCACTGACAGTCTGATCATCTCACTGGATGCAACACAGTAAGCGGCGCCGTCTCTCTGAGACTAACCGACGCTCTTTGCTGAAGGGAGGTGTAGGAGGGTCGTGGCCATCCTCGTTAGTCTCTCCTGTGTGAATACCCTGTAGGGAGAGATCCTTAGTTTATGTGCCGCTAAAACGGACAGGGCATCCTCCCTGTGTGTGTAATTGGAAAATGGGTGGGGAACAGTCTAAGCATTCCCTCTCACCCCCTAAGGGTACCCCATCTGATTTCATGTACGTACATTATGGTCCTAAAACCTGCAGGTATTTAGAGAATTGGAATCATTACACACGTGCAAATCCAGCTAAACAATGCTCACTAAAAGGTACCTTCAATCTAAATAAAATCATGCATCTCAGAGGAGCTTTTAATTACCAAAAAGCCTCTGACACACAATGAAAGCAATTTGTCTATTAAGAAAAAAGACGGGTTAATTTAAAATTCAGCGTGGTCCAAAAATTAAAAAAAAAGTTAATCTGCGTTCAAGGTCAAAAATCAATGCAGACCAGGCTAAGTACAAAGAAAAACTGCTTTCTGCCCCAGCTGGCTGTAAAAAAAATATAGACATAGTCAAACCAAAGGCAATACAAGTTACAGTGCTGAGATTACATTTGCAAAGCTTAACTGTCCGGTGAGATCCAACAGTCTGCCTTTGCGACCCTGGAGCCGGCGTGGGTTGGGGACGCTGAAGAAGCCACAGGCAGCCGGCCTGGACTGAAATCACTGAAAAGACGCCCCAAAAACCCCAGGGCATAAAAGAACTGCCCTCCCCCCCCCCCCCAAAAAAAAGCAAGTTAAAAATTGCACAGCACCTTCTCTAAACGTTATACACAGACGTGGCCAGTCTGGACGTACTTGTGTGAGTATGAAAGTGTGCCTACTCTCAGCCGCAGTAAGTCTGAGAACCGGAGAGGTGTTTAGGATTCCTCTCTCTACCCCGATTGACTGGGATGGTGTCAGGTGGATCTACCCCAGTCGTAGCAGGACTGGGCAATAGTGAAGTTGGAGAAAAGGGAAGAGTTGTGTACTTGATAACTAGAATTGAGCAATTAAGAGCATAGATCATGAACCAGGCAGCAACTCAAACCTACGCCCAGGGCAAGTTGCAAGCCTTGAGACAGGACTTCCAGGAAAAAAAAAAAAGCACTGGCTAAGCAAGTACCGGTCCTTCAGGGACTTGTCAGAATGTAACCATTTGTGTTTGCATATGCTGTAAGAGCAGTGTGTTTGCCACAAAAGGAAATTGAATAGCTAAACGCCAATAAGCCATGCATTTTGCCCAAGTGGCAAGCCTCATAAGGAAGAACTTGGGTAGCCTTGTAAGTAAAAATGTAAAAAAAAAAGAACCAGGAAGGGTGGGGGCTAGTTAAAAAGCCCCCCGTCCTAGCTAAATTGGTAGTAAAAAAGCCAGTGCCCATGAAAGGGACGGTTCAGCAAAAAAAGCAGAATCGGGCCCAAGCGGGCAGGCAACAATTAAAAAAATTAAAAAACAGGTTAAAAACTTTAAGGGCATAGTAAAAAAAAGAGTAAGTAATTATAAGCATGGGGATTTCAAATCCGCAGGATAATAATTGGCATGGTAAAATGTGTGTAAGACAGAGTCTTTGTAACCAAGTTGCAAGGCTCTCCTTTCTTCTGCAGAATAAAGCAACTCTTCCTTATCCCTGTCTGGCTGTTATTGGCTCTCAGCTAGGTGGACCCGATATTTCGGTGACAGTTTCTGGCGACTCCGCCGGGACTCTCCTAGCTCGGACATTGGACTCCGGACGGCTGCGGCGAACTGGGAACGGCGCTAATGGGGTGTTTCGCCCCTTTTCTCTGCTTCACCGCAGCCTCTGGGGTTCATGCTCCGATAAAGTGAGTCCTAATAAAATAAAAAAACCACTATCTGGTTCTGGTCTGGTTCTGTTTTAGTTAACCGGTTAATGAATTTCTGTCTTATACATTTGGGCATTAGGTGTGTGGACAAAACTGAGCCTCTCATTCGTAATTCCTCAGAGTGGAAGCCATCGCGTGCAATAAAGCTCTAAGGTCGAATTGGGATCCTTCTGTCCCGTCCCCTGTAGTGATCAGTATTAGTAGAAATTCCTATAATAGTATCCTATTAGGCCATAATTCCCTCTGTTCTCTGTAAAAAGAAGAACAGGAGAACTTCTTGTAATGGCTCAGCCATTACAAACATTGATTCTATCTCCCCTTGTAAGTATTCTCACACTTGTTATCTAACTGTCTGTACTGGGCTAGCTTGATTATCACTTCAAAAGTTTTTTTTTTTCTCTTAATTAATTGGCCTCTCAGAGTTGGTAAGACAACTCCCCCCTGTTCATGCTCTCTGTATGTGTGTATATATATCTCCTCAATATATGTTCCATTCTATATGCATCCGAAGAAGTGGGCTGTAGTCCACGAAAGCTTATGCTCTAATAAATTTGTTAGTCTCTAAGGTGCCACAAGTCCTCCTGTTCTTCTTTTTGCGGATACAGACTAACACGGCTGCTACTCTGAAATCTGTTCTCTGTGTAATTCTCTGTTAAAGTGTCAGCAGGCAAATGGGTGGGTCTCTGGTAAAACCTTCTAAGGATAGCCCTTTGAATTGTATGTTAAGTAAATGGCCTTTACCTAGTGTTCAAAAAAGAAATCGTTACACCTTATGTAAAAATTAATGTGGCTAGTGTTGTAAAAATTAAATTGTAAAAAAAATGTGCATTTTCCCCAGAACATGTGCAATGTATATTATAGT